TCTGACAGCGATGCTTACAACCTGCATCTCGAAAGAATTCAGTGTCCGATGGGCCAAGCAGCTTGAAAAATGCAAGCACTTACGGTGGCGTATCAAGACCAGCAAACCCCGTTCTGAAAAAAAAAAACCTGGCTCGTTATCCTGTTGAAGGGACACGTTTATATTGCAGAAAAGTCGTGAGCGTGGGTCTTCTTAAGCAACGAGCTTTAAACTTGCACTGGGTCCTGGCTATTCCAGGGAGCTACACTTCACAAATGCCAAATCAAATCATCCTGATGGACTTCACCTGCCAGATTGAGACCAAATTTTATGCTTTTTGAAGCATGACACAGACCAAGACCAAACTGCAACAAGACCAGATTAAAAAGATTTCCTAATCCTCTCCGAACATTGAAAGAAAGAAAGACAAACAGTGGAACTGACTTGCAAAAAAAAAAAAAATCCATTTTATTTTAAAAAGCTGCTTCTGACCAAAACTTTTCGTAGTTTTAACTTTGGCAGACAAAATGCAAACTGCAAAGCTTTGTTTAGGAAGCCAACACTTTTGGTTCCTCCAGTTGTTTTTGCAGACTCCCAAATTCACTTGATAAATGCTATGATAAAATAGAGGGGGAAGAGGAAAGGGAATGATGTATGTATGCACGGAAATGCCTTGAAGTAATTCTTAGGCGCAGCAAGAGAGACAAGTGCTCAACCCAGTGTAGGAAGCTCATTTGAGCTGGGAGCTTTGATTTTGCTCTACTGAGCTGCAAAAATTTGGAAGAAAGTTAAATACTAATACTATTTAAAAGGAATTAACGAGGAAAATTTCTTTAAAAAAAAAAAAGAACCCCAAAATAATCTTTTTGAACGAAGATGGGGGTTGAACCACTGTGGCTGGGTGTTTGTGATCCTTGGGAATTCGGAAGACAGTTCAACACTGTCCCCTTTCAAGCTTCCTTAATTTCCAACCAGTTATGCTTGGGAGGTTGAGAAAAATAACGCCGATACAAAGGAAAATTGTGCAGTCCGGGAAGAATTTTCTTGAGGGCTCCGGACCTGCAGGTTGGCCCAGTTTTCAAAAGAGCCCAGTACTTAGAGTGCTTGACTCCTTTGGAAATCTGGCATCCGTTCCATATACCAAGCACTTGACAAACTATTGTAATGCATCTGCAGAAAACAGCTCATAAACCCACTGGAAACACTCCCATAGTCTTTAGATCTGGTCCTAAGAGAGAAATGCTGGAAAGGGAATAAGCTAACAGCCTGCAAAGCAGTGGGGATGACATATCCAGTTTGCAGTTAATACAAATAAGTTATACGTCATTTTAGTTTCTCAGTTTCTTTTCAGTTGAACATGATCAACATCAGTAATATCTATGAGCCTGTGACACAAAAGCAACTTGAATAGGAGTGTTGTCATTGATTTTGATGGCAGCAAGAAGACAATCTGAGCTGAGTACACAAAATATATACCCATACATTCACCACTCCACTAGCAAGAATGGCTGTTCGGAGCAGCGGCTGCTCGATAGTGCTTGGATTCCCTAGCAGTGTGGACAGGCACTTGGGCGTATGCTATAAAGGCTAGACAGAGGTTTAGTCTATACCAAAAGGTTTGGCTCGAAAAGTCCTGGGTCTGAAATCCTGTCCATATGAGGAAGCACATAAGCAACATTTTTAAACACAGTTGTAAATGCACCATTTCGGTCCCAGCATGGCGAGGCCTAATGCACACATATACTTATAAGCATGAACCAAAGTTAACACCTTCTTGCATTCTCGTTTCTGCCAACCAGCCATACAAAATACTAACTGCAGTGAAGGGAAAGTGGAGGGATGACGCTGACACTGTGTTTCGAGCTGGCTTGGTGTTGATAGTAATGGCAGGGATTGCTAAAGCAGCAGAGAGGAACTGGGATATGACACTGACACCTTTTCAAATCTCGTAACAGTTTGCACCCTTCATCTGAGGATCTCAAAGCTCTCTGCACGTGCAAGTGAATAACTGCAGAGCTCTGAATCCACTGCCCATTCCAGGCACCAAGTTTCTTCTGGTCCAACTGGAAGGGCCTTTTCCTTCCCCCCTTGACTCCTTAATTCAGGGCCTGTTCATTAACAGTCCGTCAATTAATTCCCCTATTATATCTTTACAAACCACCCGCCTCAGCGCAATGCTGATACAGTTGCATCCCATGGTTGTGTTTTGCCTCATATCCTTACCAAAGGCACAGGCCCTCCCCCCAGTGCCATACCAGCAGTACCTTTCAAGAGGATCAGAGTAAAATCCCAACCATCTTCAGAAGCGATCCCGAGATGGATTGCTTTTACTCTAGAGTTTGATTTGTAACAGGACATCAGACATTTCCATACAGAAACAGCAAGGCTGTCTACTCCTAGCAGGTCCAGTTTTGTTCACATTTACAGTGCTGTGAATTACTGCATGTTTACATGGGTGTAACGGCTATCAGAAACCAGCAGGCACAACACGTCCACCATCAAACCAAATCTTACTGGAACTGTACACCACTCATTTTTAACAAATGATCACACTGGGATTCATGATTGAAAATACAGTCTTAAGTCAGAGATGGGGGTTGTTTCTCAGGCAAATCACAGATGTGCCCCTATCTGCTTTGCTCATTGATGACAGACCTCACACAAAGGGACAAGGATGATCCAGCAAGCAGATAAACATCCACAGCTAATACAGAATAACAGGTGTCCTCAGAAGCAGGTTTAAGTTGACTGAAGAAACCATCTGGGGCTGAAGGCCTACCCTTTCAGTAAATCTTTAGTGTAACCCTATCCCTTCACAACTATTTTGGGTGCTGCTGACAAAACTTCCATTGACTTCAGTGGGTCAGGATTTCATTCTCCATCTTTTGGGAGAAGTGAACCACTCTGTTCATCTCTGGGAAATGTTGGCAACGCTGACCAAGCTGCAGCACTATCATGACCAACGATTTAGTATTAATGGAAATATCACGAATACTGATTATGAAAGTATGTGGCAGAGGTGCTGAAGCCCACAACACTTCTATGGGATTTCCTGGGCAATTTAGCAGGCATCTGCCCAATCAGTATTTTTTAATTTTTACCAGAAACTGTCTTGAGGCCTGATCCTGCCATTGTGGTTCAGATAAATTTCTCCCAGATTACAGGATCAGATAAATATGCTCTAGAGCTGCAGCTGTGGTAGCACAAGAGTTCATTGCAGGCTCCCCCTTGAAGAAGTTTGAGCCCTTCTCCGGCAAGTTTTGCACTCTTGTGCTGAGCATGATACTGATGTGGCTGGAGTGCTACCTCAAGCTCAGTTGTCCACAGCTAGCCTGGCTGTGTCTACACAAGCCATCCTCATGGCAGTCTACACTGTAAGCAAACTCCACTTAAAAAGAAATATGGCTTAGGGCCCAATCCTGCATTCCTTGTGAACCCGAGATTCCCATCAGCTTCTGTGGGGCTTTGATTTCACAACAAAAACAGGTTTGGGCCAGCAGGAAGAATAGCCCCACTATTGCAATGGACCCCCGACAACTCCCAAACTGGAACCAGCACAAGAAGGTCAAGCCTTGATTTCTGTCCCTCCTTGGTGGGTTTGCAAGCACATGAGATTTACTCAATTCCATTTGCCAGGCTGAAGCTATTTTCGATTTGGGGGAGAGCTCTCTATTTAAGAAGGGAAACTGCAGTTTAAAAAAGCCTGCACACAATGTAGTTGGTTGCAAATTCCAAATGTTATGTAGAGCCCTTTGTCTAACAGTCAAAGGTGAAACCTAGGTTCCCTCGACAAAGCTGGGAACCCCACCGCTGGCTTCCACAGGGCCAGGATTTCACACACAGAATCTATACAATAAAATACATGGCCCCAATCCTGTGAACAGTTAGCGTACGTGGCCCCATAGCGATAATCCTATCTATGTCGATAATCAAAAGTTGCATGTATGACTAAGCGGTTGCAAGAATCAGGGCCTTTCTGTATTTATGCGGATTACATTCTTGTCAGATAAATGTTAGCAGACATGTTAAAGTGTAAGGGGCTGTTTGAATCAGCTGGCATGAAAAGGATGGCATGAAAAGGAGTTACAGCAAATTTTGTTCTCACAAAATATCCTTAAAGATCGCGATAGGAGTGTCATCATAGAAAATGTGCAAATTATGTCAGTCACGACTCATTTTACTATGGCTGTTTTGAAGGCATCTACAAAATATGAAACATTATTAGCAGTATTATTATTAATCTGTAACGCAGGACATGGGTATATGTATAACACACATTCCTTTGTAAATGTATCAGTAATATCTCAGTAAAAGAAATATTCAGACCATTTGTAGAGAATATGCACGTGTCTATCAGAAGAACAATATTTCTGATGAACAAAGGAACAACGCATGTATGTTACATTGATAAATATGCTCCTTCCTTTGCCACCAGGAAGATTTCCGTTCATTATCTTGTCCGAACTAAAACATTTTTTTCCTCATACCCCAATTTAATCAATACATTTTAATTCTCTAGATTTAATATTTCCTTCTGGCTCAAATGCATGAAAAAAATGGAAATTCATCAAAAAATCTGCTAGCCATCCAAAATGGCAAGAGATACAGAATAAAAGTACTCCTGAATGGGTTTTAAAAGGTGGGGTGATTTTATTTTTGGGGAGTGGGGGAGGCAGGGTAGCAGTGGAAATGTTTTAATGACTCCAAAGCCTACCCCTGAAGTCTGCCTCATCTGTAACTGATTTCTGTTTGTGGCAATTTCTCATCCTTCAAGCCATCAATCACTTTGGGGAAGGGGTGGAGGGGTGGGAAGAGAGAAGCAAAAATCTGGTCTTGATAAATCAGGAAGAAAGAAAAGCAGGTTTGTGGTTTGGGGTGTTTTTTTTTTTTTTTTTTTTTTTACTCAGCAGAAAAAGAAGAAAAAAGAAAAGCTTTACAACAATGCTCAGAAGTTTGCAACTGCGTGTGCATGAAAAGTGCTTTGTGTCCTGGGTGGGGGGGAAGCGGGGGGAGTTACTTACCCTGAAGTAGATGGAAGGAAAATCCCATAAGGTGTTTAGCCAGCAGATCCAAGGGAAGCCAGCAGATCGATGCAGATCACTCCCAGGGACAGAGGCTGACAATGATCTCAGCAATGAAAAAGGAACCCAGCTCCGCGGAGAAAGGAGAAAACAAGAGCAAGCGGAGCTCCAACGTCAGATCTGTATCCTCTCCAAATAGGGCAATCAAGGGTGGGGGAAAGCGATCGGCCCCTCCAGGAGTTTACAACATCTTCATCCCCAGTAGCAGCAGCATCCCGGAGCAGAGAGAAGGGGCAGATGCCTCCAAACCCAGAGGCGCACACGTCCAAACGCAGCAGGCAACAGGTAGAAAAGGAGCAAAACGAAAAGCAATTGCCTCTGAGACCGGCTGGGATCCAGCACAAGGCCAAAGGGGCAAAGCCTTCCAGACACAAGTCTCCGATCCGCTAGCCGAGGCAGGAGGCGAGGAAGGGCATCCGAAAACAATCCGGCACAAAACAGTCGGAGGAGTCCCGGTTCACCCCAAAGCAAGAGAACGGAGGAGACAAGCTGGGCTGAGGCGGCTGCAGCAGTCCCAACCCCAAATAGGACACGAGAGAGAAAAGGACACGGAGAAAGTCATTAGGAAGCTCAGCCGGGGACTGCAAGAATGCAGCCCCTCCAATGCATCTTCTCCCTCCCCGCCGAGAAATGCCCCCAGCCCCGCGCACAGCAGTGCAGGCAGCCAGGGAAGGCGGCTCCACTCTGTCCCCTCCTGGCTGGGCTGAGCCTGGAGACAGCGGCACTGCCCAGGGAAAACACTCCCTTTGCTCCCAGGCTGCCCTCAGTAAGGAAAGAGGCTTGACTCGGAGAGGATCTGATTATATTGTACCAGACAGGAATGAGCAAGCAGGGACAAGAAAGATTTAAAGTGCCCTCAGCCCAATTTCTTAGAGGTTTCTGCTTCTCTCTCTCTCTCCTCTACAACTTACCCTGGAGGAGGGCCAGCTGCAGCCAAGCTGCAGGGCCAGAGAGATCTTCTGGATCCTCCAAGAAACACAAAGAGGGTGTATTATTGTTGTTGTTGTTGTTGTCACTTTCCATCTGAGCTCAGACTAGTTGTTTTTAATTTGCAGGGAATACCTCCATTGCCCCCCTCGCTTCTCCCTGAAAACAGACTCTTCTCTGACCTTTCTGCTTGCAGATTGCAATCCAGAGGCTTTTTTTTTCTTTTTTTGTTCTCATCTCCATCACCACCACTCACCCCAGTGTGTCAAAACCCCCAGGAGCAAAAACAGGTGGCATGCAGTACTGGCACACCGCACTGCGCAGGGCTCCAGGGTATTAGGGAAGCAGGTAACTTGATCCAGGTGTTACATAAGTAACAAGGAGGAAAACAAGTCAAAATTTGGGTGGGAAATAGGCTGTTCTGCTTGAGGGCAGAACCCACCCTCTCACCCGATAGGGCTTAAATGGGAACTTCCTTCTAGGGGTGGGGTATCCCATGCCTGCCTGTTTCACCTCTCCTGGAGGCAGCTGGCACTAGCTGCTGTCAGAGACAGAATAATAGACTGTATGATACTCCTATGTGCATCTTCTCTGGGATCATCACGATGGGGGACCCCATCCACTGACAGCATGAGATCCTCCCCATGGGTTTTTGACACATGGCCCTTACGACTCCTTGAGCACTTGAAGTACAGTTTGTTTTACTTCCATAATGACCAAGTACCAACTCCGCTAGCCCAACAGGTGCTGGACTCTACCAGTGTCCGTACGCTCCTTCCTACTCTCTTAGTTGGGAGCAAGGGTGTTGCTTCCTTCCTCCAGAACAGAGGTGAGATTCTGATCGGAGTCTTATATGTGAGCGTTGACTCAGCCTCTCTTATGACAGTTGGATTTCTGCCTGGTCCACCTACTGAGTTCTGCTGAAAAAATACTGGTCTCAGGCAGAAAACAACTGAAAGAGACATCAAAGACTTGGATGTAACATGTTGATCCTGTAGATGAGGAAAGGAAAATATGAGCTAGATAAGGGCAGGAATGAAGCAGCTGACTAATCATTAAAGGTGAAATTCAGTCTTGTGCTAGGGCCAGCAGCAGGCTTAACTCTGGCTGATGCCTCATTCAAGCCATATTTGGATGGTTCAAGTGGGATTGATATGCTGGCTGTCTGTACGGGAGGTAATTTTAGCTCATTGTTAAGCAGAACTTTGAGCCCTTTTGAGGGCTGCTTTATCACATTCAAAGGTCCAAGAATATTGGTATTAGTCAAATGACTAAAAGAGGATGGAGTTGGTTTTGATTTGATCTTTTGGATTGTGAAGAATAAAAATTGCTTGCTCATCATGTTTGCAGTATTTGTAAAAAAGGGCCATAGCAGCCAGCTAGGACATTGCAACAGTGCAAGGCATTCTTGTGAAGGAAGCGTGAAGAATCTTGAGAACTGTCATGCAGCTCACCTGTTGTTGGTAGCAGAAAAGATTCATTAAGATGCTAATAACAAATATTACTGACTCAGTAGCCAGAGGAAGTGCAGTAAATCTGGGCTAAGTCATTTAGTGCAGGGCCAAAGTAACATGCACAGCTGGCCAGGTACCAGGTTGATAACGATGTCTTAGCACTGGTGTAGAATTATCTAATGAAGCAATTATGGAAAGATATGAATGGGAAGAATTCCGCATGGAAGAACTGTAGCAGCTGGAGTATTATTAGGGCACCATACTCTGACCCATGCTATTTAATAATGTCTAGTTGAATTCGTTTAGGGAATATTCTCAAAAGCCCCTGAGCGCACTCAATCTTTCAGGCGCTTTGGAAAAAGGTCCCCCTAAATCAACACTGGCCAAATGTCACAAATTTAGAGGGTGACACAACATAACAGATCTAAATCCCAAAACGGTCTGGCAAGAATGAAACTGCAGGCAGTAAGATGTGATTTAATACTAGTTCAAAAGGAAAAAAAAACAAGTGAAGACTCCTAAAATAAAACAATATCCAACACAATACCACGGAAGACAAAGTAAAGGCATGCCACTAGTCATATCACCTTTATATACACACCCCTGCTCGTTCCTCTCTCTCTCTCACATACACACGCACACACGTGCACACATGCACACCATCTCTACCCTACATAAATCTACAGCAATCTGCCTGTCTCACCACACTGACACCCTAACTTCTTTACTCTTACTCTGCCCTGTGTGGAATAATTCCGCATGTCCGAGTTTGTGTGGTTTTTACTGAGTCTTTGCATTTTGGAACATTTAGTGCTTTAAGGAAGTGTTTTCTTTTTGGACTATGATGTTTGTAAACCATGTTGTATTGCTATTGTTAATGAGGTGCACTGATGTGTCATTTGGTTTGCAAACTAATTGCTATCGTTTTTGAGAAGAAGGTAACATACAGCAAACTAGTATGTCATGGAGGGCAAAGTTAGGTTATCTGGGTTGAAAACAAACAGAAAGTACAGCAGAAAATGTGACTACCAGGAAGACCAGATTGCTAAGAGGTCAGAATAGGCCTTGGTTCAACCTTTCCCTTTCCTGTCCTTGGCAATTCAGTGCTGAAGCCAGAATTAGGAGACAGTCATGTGGGGCCTGACTCTACACCGGTAGGAGGAACTCAGTGCCAGTTTTTGCACTAATTTCAATCAATATTAGATCAGGCTCACTGACTTGAGTAACCCTGTTGTGTTTTTTACCTGCTGCAGCTCTTCACTCATCAGCTCCCACTCCCAGCCCCTGGGAGCTTGTCACCTGCCTTAAAAATATTATCCGCTGCCAAACCACTCCGATTATTTTGAATGCTGAGCAGCAAAACACAAACAGGCTCCTAAGACACAACAGTCGGTTCTCACACCCCCAGATGAGGTTGTGCTGCTTAGGCCCATTGTTTTGTTTCCTGGCCCCAATGTGGCTGGGAATACAGCGCACACAGTCTTACCTAATACTCACACGTCCATGCACATCCTGTCACCGCCTTGCAAAGCTCACCCTGACACACCACAGCTGGGCAACTGAGGCCTATGAGGAACACACGTTTCTCCCTCCAGAAGCTTCACTCCCTCACCCATTGCTGTTGTTTCAGACCCGCAGTGCCAGGGGCTCCCAACTTGTCAGGACAGGACTCCAAGCTGTGGGCGGGAACATTAAAAGGGTTCATTAGAAGTTAAAAATAAAACTGTTGCTTTTATTTGTTTTTTAATGCAGATTCCAAGGCTCCCTGCCCATGGCTGGGGCTCTGGAAGACACCTGCTAGGAAAAGGCAGCTGCAAAGAGGGCAAGTCAGAGGAGCAGGGAGTGGCAAGGAAGGGAGCAATTGTTCTTCTCTGAGACATCTCCGTGGCAGGAGTCTCCATTGCCCCCTGCACTAACCTGCACTTTGATCACCACCTCCCAGCCGTATTCCGTGGGGTACTCACCTCCTGGAGGCAGAGGCTCATGGTTTTGGCTGGTACAAGATTATGTTTGTAAGGAAGAATGATTTTATAGGGGAAGTACCCAGGAAATGTGGATCCAAATCCCGGCTCTGCCGTAGATATTCAATTGCTTGACCTCAGCTGCCCATCTGTAAAGTGGGGCTAGTAGTATATTTTCCTTTATCTATTAAGAATGTAAGCCCCATGGTGCAAGGGCATGTTAAATTTCCCTATCAGTATATACAAAAACTAACACAACTAGGGTTTTGTATGCTGCTGTAACACAGAGTGCAATTTTTCCCTACATCTTTGCTCTGAGACTCCATATTTTACCCCACTGTGATTCTCAGCCTCCTTCCTTTCCCACCAGCAGCTGCAGGGGGAATGCCAACTAGTTCCTAAAGCAGGAGAGGAGGAATGAAAACACCCCGCTCTGTTCCCAGATGTGTTACTAACTTGTTCTGTGACCTTGGGCAAATCACTTAAATTCTCTGAGCCTGTCTGCTCCTCAGGGGAGAGATTATGTCTTTTTATGTGTTTGCCCAGTGTCTAGCAGGAGAAGGCCGTGATCCTCATACAGAAATTACTGTGTCTTGTGCTTTGATTGAAAGGAGAGGACTAGACAGCTACTTATCTCCCAGGAGTGCCGTGAGGCCCAATTAATTAATGCCCATGAAGAGAG